TTGAAACTCACCATTCATCTGGAGGGAGAGAATCAAACTTCAAGTTCATAGCAAGAACAGATGGTGCCATTACTTCTTCCAATGGATTACTATCCTCTTTGCATTCAGGTATCTCATTTATCTCATCACGGTCTTGAGAATCACCAAAAAGATCCTGAATATTTGAATTAACATAACACAAGGATCCATCAATAATAAAATTGTTCATGATGGAGTTAGATGATAAAACCTCTTGCATGAAGTACAGCTAAGAAACCTGAGTATCAACTGGAGCTCGAAACATAGGCTTAGCAACTTCATCCAAAACCTGCAGTTGTATGATACAGATTAGTATAATAAGTTAATAGCAAGGACCCCATCAAGAAGGATTAATAATTTTAAACACTAATGCAGGTATTGGAGAATCTGTTTGGATAGAGGGTTGTGGAGGAGATTGGAGGCAAAGGCTTTGGATGCCTTATAATGTGTTTGGGGGTAGATAAAACATTATAATCCCTTCGTCCCAATTTATTTGATATTTTTAACAATTTTCATACATGTTAAGGTTTTAGATTACAAAAACTACGCTGGCCTTGTTTATCTACTCTTGTAGTCTCTCTAATCTCTACCTGTCATTTTCTATTCTAGAAGGGATTAAAAATAAGAGTAGTTGGGGAAGAAAGCAGATAGTTGTACCTTGGAATCTGAAAAAACAAATTTATTTGGGGGAAATAGTTAGAAGCTAGAATGTCAAAATCAACATGATAATTGATTGTTGTTATAAATAATTATATAATAGGTAGGAATTAACTAAATGAGAGTTAGTTTATCTTTGGGAAAAATTTGCTCAAAAGTGGCTTAATGTAATATTAATCAATGTCATTTGAAAAAAAGATGTCTCAACAGATGAAAGAAAATAAGGTCCTAAAAAACAAACTACAAAAAACCAATTTTTCTTGAACAGCTAGAATTTCATGGAATTTTTTTCCAATATAACCAATCATCCAAAGATGTTGGGTTTTAAAAAGGAACTGAAATTATTCCCTAGCTTAAATGCGGGTTTCCAAGACATGCTTTTAGTCTCTATCTTGATAAAGATTCTAACAATCAAGATAAAGACTAAGCATTCTGAAGTCTTCCCATCCAAAACCTCCATCTAACAGACCCTAAAAATGTTTCGATTGCAACAAAGTTCATACTATATCCCTAAACGGTTGACTTGGAACACTTTCACAATTTTCATTGACTTCAGAATCTGCAGGACCAGTTGCATCATCTTTTAAATCCTCAACATGTGACCCTGTCTTCTCTTTTGTCTTCTTTTCTGATCTTATTACAATGATATCATCTTTATAGGTGTTGTCAACGTCATCCTCGTCCATAAGTTCTCTCATATGACCATTGATTGTATGAGAAGAAACGGTGTTGCTTAATGTGATATTTCTATATCCAAAAAAATAATGAAAAGATCAGCAATTTAAGGTACAAGAATGTCAGGTAGAAAGATTGCATGCTATCTAAAAGATTTATAGAAACCTACTTTTTAGAGATCTCAAGCTTTCTCTGCCGGATCTTTTCCAATACTGATGATATGGGCTTATGCACGATTGGTATAGGCTTAAATGAGGCATCCCTTTTTTCTATTCACAACAGAAAAGTAAACGAGTATATGTAACAAAATCATAATAAACTGTTATCACCACTCAAATTAAACTATCCTTAAAACAATGAAAATAAAATATCATGGTTAAAAAAGAATTGAAGCCAACAGAATCACAAACCTCGTAATATCCGCTGGGTTTCAACATGAATCTGCTGCAAATTCTGTTTCCTTTCCTGCATAAATCCATAACAAATCAGCCCAGTCAAATGCACATCTAGTCATCTAGCAATGGATCACTGATGGGAGAGTACATATAAGAAGATACAAGCACCTTTCGTTCTCTCCTTTTATTAGAAGCGGGCTCTTTGGGCTTTGATTCAGCAGCATCGTCCACATTATGCTTAGCCTTCTTGCTCTTACTTTTATCATTTCCATTCGAATTCAAATCTGCATTGCTCCTTTTGTTTTCTGTTTCCTTGGGCTTGTGGTTTTCGATCCCTTCCATAGTTCCTTCACTCCCATCGCCAGTTTTACTCAAAAACTCCACTGCCGGAGGTTCCAGGTCTTCCTCGATTTGTTCACATTCACCGACAGATCTCAGTCCTGGATTCGGATTCATATAGAGCCCATTATCCTCGTGGAAACTCAAAGCTCGGCGGCTGTCTTTCCTATTTTCGGGTTCTAACTCACACTCATTACCGTGGCTTTTATCTGACGACAGAGGCTCCTCGGAATCATCGGATTCATCTTCTAGGGATTTTGAAGCTTCCAAGGCTTCCAATTTGGCAAAATCGACATCGGGAAACAAAAAAGTATCGTCAGTTGAACTCACATGCGGATCTTTCAGGGCTACTCCGGGTTTCTTTAAGCGTTTGAAGCTTGGATTTTTAAGCACCGGTGATGGTTCTTCACAAGGTGAGAACGACTCAAAATCGTCATCGCTTTCCATCGGTTGTTCCTGAGAATTGAAATTAGGGCTTATAATCGGGCCTCCTGAGAAACGAAGAATGTATCCGATTGGAAATGAGGATGAAATAACGAGCAGAGACTTTAGAGACGGTGAGATTGAAGTCTAGGTAGGGCTTTTAGTTTTTTGGCGGCAAATGTTTCAAAGTTTAGGGAAATGAGCGCGCTGACGGGTTTCCCAGCACTATAAGGACGTGTTTGATATCTTGGTTGGCGCTAATCACCCGCGTGTTTGCTCATTTCATTTTAAATTTTGAGCTAAAAAATAAAATTTTGAATGCATAATCTATAGTACGTAACTACGTACTTCATAAAAAACATTTTTACGACCTTTCTTTAAAAAAAATCTCAAACATATTATAGTAGTATTAAAATAAAATTTATTTACACAAATATAATTAGAAGTTACCACAATGTGGTATCATAGTAACCTAAGTTTAAAAATTGAACATAATTACTATGTTTTCATATCTACTCTATTTACTAGACACATTTTTGTAAATAATTTTTATTTTAATCATACATATGTAATCACGTAGTATTTCTTAAAAATCTCATAAATCATCTCAAATGTAGGCGGGTGCACAATGAGTTCCGATAAAAAAAATCTTCCGATCAAATTCATTATCTACCACGAGAATGCAGTAACACACATTTGACCTAAAATTTTCCCAACAAAATAGGAGAAATTTGTCCAACATAAGATCAAAACTCAAGCTTCTTCTCAAAATAGCACTACATGTATGTGTTCATCTAAATAAGACTAACCTCACATATTTTACCCCAATTCTATATAATTATTTAATTGACATAAATAATTGCACCCTTATCTTCCTTGCACAACCAAGGCAGTCTGTAGGTGGCAGGGCAGTCTGTGGTGGCGACAGTACTGCGGCAGATTCCGGCAGAAGCGGTGAACTCCGACGGTGCCGGGTGGCGGCAGAAATGTTGGCAGCCCGTCATAAAAAAAATTGAAATTATTCCAACGGGGGTAGCGGTCCGACGCTCCAACATTGGTAGATGGTGGTTAGTGGCAGACAGGAGTCCAGGGACAGCAGTGGAGGTATTTTGGTCCAATCATAAATAAAAAGTCTTATTTAAGGATGTTTAAACTAATGTATTCTATTTTGAGAAAAAATCATGTTTTGCTCCTACTAAGATAAATCATCCATAGAATAGAGAGTAAGGCGATAGAGTATATTGGCTTGGACCCCATGACCCACATAATTAGACAGTCAACAAACACCAGAGAGACACCCACGTGGCACCCTTCGGCCTAGTGGGCCCCGCAATGGCCAGAACCGGATCAGTCCAGGACGTCATCAAGACACAAAGGGGCCGCATCGGCCATGGGTTCGCATCGACCGAAGGCACCGCATCGGCCAGAATGGCTCCAGGCAGAATGTACTCTCCTACTTTATTTACTAAGTATTGTACTCAGCCCATTAGTGGCCCTATTCCGCCCAAAAAAAGACATGATTTTTTGTAATGGGCCTCCTAAGCCCAAGGTTAGGGACCCAAATCCACATTTTTACCTATAAATAGGCCCCAAGAGGCTAGTTATAGGGGGTTGAGAAATATTAATTACTCACTTTCTCTCTCTAGCTCTCACTTCTATCTAGAATTAAATACTCTATCATTAGGTAATATTATTCTCAGTTTGACTTGTACGAATAATAATAAAATAAAATTTGTGATATTCAAACTTGTACATATGAAAAATAAATAATTAATTCCACTTTTGGTCCTATGAGTTTTATGTCATTTCCACATTTAGCCCACGTCTTTCATTTTGTCCACTTTTGGTACTTGACTAATATTTTTTGACTATTTTATATCCTTTTCCGGCAATTTTAACCACCAGAATAGTTGACGGAAGGACCATATGTGGGTGAAAACACAATAGTGATGTACCGAAAGTGGTCAAAGTCAAAGATGTGGACCAAATGTGGAATTAGTGCGATACTCATAGGATCAAAAGTGGAATTGGTGCGATACTCATAGGACCAAAAGTGGAATCTATTCAAAAATAAATAAAAAAGATAAAAAACCAATAGATTAAAAAGAATATAGTAAAATATTTGAGTCAAATTGAAAAATGAAAGATAACCAAATTTTAAAGGATGCCAAGTATTTTAAAATATTTGTTAATCGGACGAAACTTGTTTTTTAACAAGGGTACCAAGTATTTTGTGGTATGATGACATCAATGTGGCACTCTCAAAGAGTGAGTCACAGGTTCGAATCACATCCCAATTCAAGGATGTTGACATTAACATTTAACAGATACTATATAGGTTAGAAAGAATTGAAAAAAAAAAACATATCCAAAAGGGCCAATATCTGCCTTGTGGGTTAGTTTCTGGTTCGCGTGGCCCAACAGAATAGAAACCCTAGCGTAGCTGAAAAGCTGTATTAATAGTTGCGTTGTCTTCAAGCCAAAGGAGTTCATCTTCTTCCACGGCGCTTCTCTCAATTCCCCTCTTGATTTCGTCGTTCAATACGATTCGTACATGAAAGCGATTTGGTAGACGATATGCATAACGTATCTGTGTGCGTGTTTTTTTTTCAAACCTGTTTTCGTTCGATCGATTTGTTTAAGTGAGAAAAATGCATTGGATTTACCATCTCCTTGCGACATCCATGTTCGTTCGAGGAGATAGAACTGATGCAGAGAGTTAATTGAGGTTGGCTTACCAGCCCATCGCATCTTTCTCTATTGCCATGGCGTCAAATGGACCTACCCATATTTTCGCTGCACAAATATTTTTTAAGATTTGGTTCGTTTTTGTTTGAAGTAAATTCCGAATTTCTCGACTTTTTTTTAGTAAGGGCAATGAAGATTATTGAGATATGCAAAACGCTGAATACACGGTGTTGATTATATACTCCGCTTATTATCTGATGCCTTTTGTTCAATTCTATGCGAAATTTCAACCTGTTTAAACAATATGTTCAGTATCATAGTAATCACTGATGCGAAAAAGCGGACGGGCGGTCAGAAACTGATGCCGTGTTGAATGTCTGCAATGCTTCCTATACGGGAACCTGTCTGAGATGACTTAAATACTTTTTCGAAACCTGCTGTTGATGATGTGAGTATTAAGTTTTTTTTTTTAAACTTTGAAGGGCCAGTTTGCAGTGATGATTTTGCTTAATTATGTCTGGACTTATGATTCTTGAACATGATTAGTTGCTATGCAAAATTCTGAGCATCATTTTAGCAGTTCATACTTGCCGGAGTGATCTGGTATTTTTTGAGAATTTTAAGTGAGGTTTTCCATTATTACGTAGGTTTTCTTTGAAGTTTGAGCAGCTGCAAATACATTTAATTTCCCAAGATTTTTTTTGTTTAGTAAAATGTTTTTTAATCGGTTAAAAAGATTGATTTTTTAATTAAAATGGGTGTTGTTCGTGAAAGCAGTTTTTTAGAATCTGAAATTTCTGATTCTAAAATCACTTTAAATTGTTACCTCAAATTTTTTATTTTCAAATACGAAGTATTTCAACTTTTACTTTTTTATCAGAATCGTTTTTTGCTTAAAAAATTACCATTCAAATGGTTTTGGGTGAATTGGAATGCATACATTTTGAAACGTTGTTATATCAATTTCATTCACATGTGTTCCATAAATATATACAACTTGTATATATTTAACAAGAGGGGTAGGGATAAGGGCTACACTGGCTACACAATATGGAGATCTGCATATTGAATAATGCTCTTTTGCATTCAACATCCTTCTACTTTTATCTGCGGATTGCTACACATGTTGTACTAAAATGTCATTTAGTCGTGATATCCAATTTGCTCTACAACAATTTAAGAAAGTATACTGTCACATTGTCACCTACTGCTTGTCGTAGAGAACAACAATTACTGAGCCTTCCGAGCAACTATCAAATCAACGCTTTCGAATGCTAAATTATGTCAATATTTGTGCTTCATTTTTTTTTTTTTTTGGATAAACATGTAAATGTTATATAACCAAGAAGCTATTACACAGATTTAGGGGGCATACCCCCGTTTACATTTACCCAAAGCAATCAAGTATCTCAATCAACAATTCTCAAAGAACATCAAATTCACAAACAACAAAGCCTCAAAAAGTAATAAAATCTGGTGGATAAAGGCTATACAAAACCTTATAAGTCAATAACTTGATCTGAAGAAAAATTTCATTAGAAGGAGTAGCCTTTTTCTCAAACACTAGCTTGTTCCTTGCCTTCCAAACAGTATGAACTGTGCAGCACATGGCAATCCGCACTGCCTTGCTCTTGATTCTAGCACCGGCATAAAACTTCTTGAAGCATTTGACAGCAGCAGCAAGTGTAGTAATATGTTGCTTAACACCAAGCCACAAACATATATCATTCCAAATTTTCCCTATATTGGGGCATTGGAAGAAAAGGTGAGCTACTGTTTCAACATGGGTGTAGCAAAAGGTGCATGCTCTATCCATATCAATGTAACTCAGGTTTTTCCTTGTAGGGAGTCTATTCCTGAAACAAAGCCACACAGCAAAAGAGAATTTTGGGGGAATGTAGCTTTTCCAGATAAACGGCATCCAAGGTTTACTAGTGTTCTTGACTCTTAATATCTCATACACTTTAGAAGATGGAAGAGATCCATTAATACACATGCTGTTAAGCCCCAGAATAGTATCAAAGGGGCTGCCAAACAGAGATACCAAACAGTTCCTGATATTTGCAAATTTCTTCATTAGAGGAGAATCCCTAGGATTAGGAATCCATTCCCAAATAGACACCTCCTTAAGATAGATCTCATGCATCCATTTAACCCATAGTGTGTCTTTTTTAGCATGGATATTCCATAACGACCTGGCAAGAAGAGCTGAGTTCCACACCTTAATGTCCTTCAGCCCCAGTCCACCTTTTTTAGGTTTACAAATATCACCCCAAGCCACTTTTGCATTCTTCCCCCCCCATAAAAATTGTCTGCAGTTTGATGTAATTTTCTCATTAATGGCCACTGGGATAGGAAAGCATTGCAACCAGTAAGATTGTGCACCTTGTATCACAGCTCTTATTAGCTCAATTCTTCCTGCATAAGACAAGTTTTTGGTCTTCCACTTTGATATAAATTTCTCGATTTTTTCAATGAGAGGCGAAAATTGTGCAATGGATACCACAAGTGGTGATAGAGGGACGCCTAAATACCGAATAGGGAACACACCCTCTTGAAATCCAGCAAGGGCCAAAATATCACTTTTAACTTGAGGCGAAACTCCTGCAAGAAAAACATTAGTCTTTTCAAAGCTAACTTTCAAGCCAGAAGTTTCCTTGAATTCATCAAGACATTTCATAAGTGTGTTGACTGAGAGATAATCTCCACCGCAAAACAGCATTAGATCATCGGCAAAAGCAAGGTGCGATATTCTCAATTTCCCACACCTCGGGTGGAACCTGAAACTTGGTTGGGCTGATTTAATACAAAGCAGCCTGGAGAAGTATTCAATGCACAAGAGGAATAATGCAGGAGACATGGGATCACCCTGTCTCAAACCCCTCTCCCCTTTAAAAAAATCATGCAGAACCCCATTAATGGATATAGAGAAACTGGCAGTAGTAACACATTCTAACACCCAACCTACAAACAAACTTGGAAAGCCGAAAGAAATCATGACCTCTCTTAAGAAAGACCAATTCACTGTATCATATGCTTTTCTGATGTCTACTTTTATCAAACACCGAGGGGATGTATTCTTTCTAGCATACCCCCTAACCAACTCCTGTGCCAAAAATATGTTGTCATAAATAACTCTACCTTCTACAAAAGCTGATTGAGCTGGATTTATAAGTTTAGGCAGAAGGGGGTTCAACCGAGCAGCAAGAATTTTTGTAATGGTCTTGTAAATGACATTGGTACATGATATGGGTCTAAAGTCAGCAACAGTAGGGGAATGGTCAACCTTTGGGATTAAAGCAATGATGGTATGGTTGATTTGTTTCAGTAGTTGTCCAGAAACAAAAAATTCTCTTACAGCAGCAATGAAATCAGCACCAACAATATTCCAGTTTTTGATGAAAAAACCGGATGAGAAGCCATCAGGTCCCGGGGCCTTATCCTCTCCAATGTCAAAGAGTGCATCTCTAATCTCCTTATCATCCACAGGACTGGTTAAAATATCAGCTTCTTGCGCACTAATAGAGCTGCCACTCTGAATAACGCTACTATTTATGGGTTTACACGAGACACCAGTGCCAAATAACCCCTTATAAAACTTAACAAACTGATGGGATACTTCCTCGGAAGAGGTTGTAGGGTTGCCATTCTCTTTAATGATAAAGGAAATGGTATTTTTTGCCTTGTTTTTCTTGGAAAGAGAATGGAAGTATCGGGTACCTTTATCAGCCTGAACTAAGTGGGTCGCTTTAGCTTTCTGTTTATAGAAACTCCTTTCAGCCTCAGTGAAGAAAGCAGCTGCATCTCTAGCCTTATTAACATTGTCCAGTAAAAGCCTATTGTTAGGATCCAAGGCTAGAAGATCATGGGCAGCTTTAAACTCATCTTTTGCTTTTCTAGCCTTAGTAGAGATGTGTGCAAAGTCCTTATTATTCAGCATCTTTAGGGGAGCTTTGAGTAGTTTGAGTTTAGTACACAAGTTAAATTGATATGATCCATATGAAATCTGGTTCCAGACCCCAAAGAGGATATCTTTAAAATTTGGGTGCTTCAACCACATATTATAGAACTTGAATGGTCTAGAACCAATCTTCTCCTCATTTACCAAAGACATAATAACAGGACAGTGGTCAGACTCATCATCGAAGCTCAAGAAATCAGCCCTACAGGTCAATCCCTCCTCACCCCATTTTGGGTTAACTAAAACTCTATCCAATTTAGCCCAAGAGTGGTTCCTCCTCCATGTGAAAAAAGAACCAGTAGAGGGTGCATCTTCTAGATTTAAAGCAGCCCTACACTCCAACAGATCCTTCATGTTGTAGTCCAGAGGGGCACTACTACCCATTCTCTCCCTGCTGTAGCAAACACAATTAAAATCCCCAACTACAATCCAAGGGATACTAATGCATTGATGTAAAGTAGTGAGTTGATCCCAGAGTTGTCTTCTCTCCCGAACACTGTATAAAGCATACACTGGTGTGATGAAAAAAGACACCTGGGATATGAGGCATTTCACTCTAGCATGAATATACTGAGGGCCTGTACCAAGAATCTCACAGGAAAAACGAGAGGGGTCCCAGACCAAACTAATCCTCCCTCCTTCTATCTTATCAAAATTATTTGCTTGCTTCCATCCGGGAAGTTTATTTTCCAGAAACATCTCCAATTTATTTACATTAGCAAACTTTAACTCCAAAAGACAACTTATAGAAATTTTGTGTTGTTGAAAGTACCTAACAACACAATCCTGCTTTGAGGCTCTATTGAGGCCCCGAACATTCCAAGAGAGGACTTTCATTTTAAATGGGTAGTTGAGGATAGGCTCCCTCCTTCTCCCTCACTCTTTCCAACCTTAGTACTGTTTTGTTTTTGTTTAGTAGTTGCATTGTGAACCCCTTCTTTCACAGGATGTTGACTCGCCGGTTTGAGAGTCGCTATTTCAGAGTTTGCATTGCTCACTCCTTTTGTAACTCTATCCGTGTCTTTTTTATGTTGTCCAATGGGGTCAGCTTGGTTCTGCCCACCAGTACTTCCTCCTGTAGGTACATGTTTCCCAAATACAGCAACCTGCTTCTGTACTGGAGCCCTTATACCAGCACTTTGGTAACTGTTGGCTACCCGAGCTTGTCTACAATTTGCACTTAGAGGAGTTCCACCCCCCCTACCTTCCGCCACACTACAGCTACCACCCAGTTGTACCTTCTCTGTCGTTCCACTTATTGAATCAATCACTGCATCCTTATCATGTACTTCAGTAATTGTGGCCTGGATCTTCTTATTTGGGTGCACCTTGTCACAATTGCAGGCACCTTTCACCAGGTTAGGGGCTTTAGTAGTTTGCTCCTCTGGTTCTTTAACTGGAGCCTTATTATTTCCATTATGTTCTCTTTCTAATTCATGCAACACCTTACAGGTAAATGGGTGATGGCCAAACTTCTTGCAATGGAAGCAATAGTTTGGAAATGTCTCATAAATAACAAATTGTTTAAACCTACTCCCAGAGCGTAGTCTAAGATCAATAGACAGGGGAGGGGGTTTAGATATATCAACCTCTATCAAAGCTCTGGCGAAGTGCACCCTTGTTTTCTCATTTGTCACCCCGTCAGTAAAAATTGGATTACCAACTCTTGAAGCTATCTTGCTGATGGCTTTTTCGTTATAGCAGTCCAAAGGGAGCCTTGGAAATTTTATCCATATAGGGACCTTAAGGAATTCCTCATCGTCGAATCTGAAACCTTCAGCCAGATTTTTTAGCATTAAGGACCTGCCCATCACCGCATATGGCCCCTCCATTAGAACCTTCGCTCTATCTTCTTCATTTTTAAATTGGAAAACGAACCACCCCTTATCATGTGGAAGGAGTTTGCATTGAACATGCCATGACTCCATGAGTAGATTCATTGCATGCATGCCAGGAAATCTACCAGTGAGAAAGCCTACAAGGCAATAACCCCATACTTCGTGGAGGTTTACAAGTTCGTCATCGCGCAAATCTACAACATCACCTTCAGGTTCAATAAACCTCAGCTTCATACCTTTAGATGGTGCCCTATTATCCTTGAATAGCCCTGCCCACGACGGTTTTGGGTTGGTTGCTGCAGCTGGTTTAGTATTTAAATCAAACAGTTGGCGTGCAGCAGGAGACTTTGTTGTTTCCTCAGCCTTAGATATGTTCCCTTCTTCTGCACATCCTGCAGCTATATCCTGGGGTTCATCAATCACCTCAATATCATCTTCAACAATGATTTCCTCAGCCTCAAGCATAGATACATCCTTTCCAGTATTTCTAGAGTTATCAGCAACCTGTAGACTTCCTGTAACCTTAGCCTTTGGTTGATTACTACGTTTCATTGGGGTATGCGTCCTACCCTTCCCCATTGGAGAGGGGAGGAATCCGAAAGGTCTGAACGCCAGAGATCAGTTGAGTTAAAAACTCAGCCCAAAGGGCGAATCCAGACTGTTAGACTAGAAATTCCAATAAAATAGCAGCAGAGAAATCAGTTTGTTTGGGTAGCAGGATACAATCTCACCGCCGCTGGCATCTAGGATTTGTGATAGGCCCTAGGAGAGTTACTCTCAAACCAGCGATTTTTTCAAACATTTATAATCAATCCTTTTGAAGAGGTCAATCAAAGTTCAGTTCATCTAACATTTTAGTATTTAAACAAACATTTGTGCTTCATGGTGATAAAGGGTGTGTTGAATGTCTCACATTCCGATGCTAGATGATTTGATTTTTTTTGATGAAATGTAAATATATATTAACACTCAGAAAAACTATACAACACATGTTCTAGATCTCTTAAAACCTCCTCCACCACACATAATGTGTGGGTGAAAGGAGGTTTTTATTCGATCTATTTAATGCCAAAAACCCAGCTCATCAAGAAGTTCAAAAAAATACATCAGTGCTGCAAATGCATGCACACAGATCAGAGGCTAAATTCTAAGGAAAGTACAAAAGTTGCCAGTAAAACAAACACCATAATATCAAAGATCATGCTACATGCCGCGGCATCCATAATGTCCATGCCGCGTCGTATCAAGTGTTAAGCCGTGGCATCCATAATGTCCATGCATCGGCGCTCCAAGCAAACATGTAGCGGTCAAACCAAAAACCGCGGCCTCCATAATATCCAATCCCCGGCCTTCTACTCAGAATGTGATCAAGCCATGCGGGTATAAATTGAAAAGTATTTTATACACCACATTCTTGACTTTTGCAATGACTACCTCTTCCTTCACGTCCTTTTCATCAAATTGGTTGGCATTTCTAGCGTGCCAAAGGTAGTAAACCGCGGCACCAAACGCAATCCGAACAGCCTTCCCTTTGATCTTTGAACCCTTATGATCCTTCAAGATCCATTTCACGGAGTTGCATAGCGTGGTCATCTCTCGATTCATCCCCAACCATTCCTTAATTTTTTCCCAGACCCTACAGGTGTAATGACAACGAAAAAATAGGTGTGGTATTGTTTCCAATCCACCCTTGCACAAGTCACAACGATTAACAATATGGAGGTAACTAAGGCTATCCTGCGTAGGTAACCGGTTCCTCATAGCAAGCCAAGCGTTGAATGAGAGCTTCGGAGGGATATAAGACTTCCAAATGAAGTTCATCCACACTCTCGGCGTCCCTTTAATTCTCAACAACTCATAAATCTTTTCGGAACAAAGCTTACCATTTAAGGATCTACTATTTAGGCCCATAATGGTATCATTCAAATTGTTAAAACATCCCAAGATTTGGTCCCGTATGTGACTCAATTTCTTCATGAACATTGAGTCACGATTGTGTGGGATAAAATCCCACACGCTCCTACCTTTAAGGTAGACCCCATTTACCCACCTTACCCATAGAGTGTCTTTTTTCCTATGGACATCCCAAAGTGTTCGAGAGAGGAGAGCATGGTTCCAAATCTTGGCATTATGAATGCCAAGGCCCCCCTCCTCTTTTGGTAGACAAATGTCATCCCAAGCCACTTTAGAATATTTCCCACCCCATAGAAAAATTCGGCAAATAGAAACAATCCTATCTAGGAGTGTTTGGGGGACCGGGAAAATCTGGAGCCAAAAAGATTGGACCCCTTGGATCACAGATCTTATCAACTCGAGTTTTCCGGCATAGGATAAAGTCTTCATGTTCCAAGCCTTTAAAAAAAACCGAGATTGTATCCAGCAGCGGTGAGTACTGTGCCATAGAAACCTTAAGGGGGGCAAGTGGAATTCCGAGGTATTTAACCGGGAATGTGCCACGCCCAAAGTCCACAAGGGCCATGATCTCCTGGAGATCATTTTCATTAACTCCCCCTACAAAAATATTTGATTTCTCATGATTCACTTTAAGGCCCGACGCATCCCCAAACTCTTCGAGGGCTTTGACAAGTATTTCAATTGAATACGTGTCACCCCGAGAGAACAGTATTAAGTCATCTGCATAGGCCAAGTGTGTCAATCCAAGTTTCGCACATTGAGGGTGAAAATTAAAATTTGGCCCTTTGGTTTTTAAATTAATAAGTTGGGAAAAGTATTCTAAGCAAAGGACAAATAGCAACGGAGACATTGGATCTCCTTGCCGAATTCCCCTCTTACCCTAAAAAAAACCAAACAAAGAACCATTCAAAGAGACGGAGAATGAGGCCGTGGTTACGCACTCCATAATCCATCCAACAAATCTTACGGAGAAGCCCAAACCCCTTAGAACATTCTCGAGAAAGCTCCAAGAAATAGTATCATAGGCCTTGCGCAAATCCACCTTGATCATGCATCTAGGTGAGATCCGCTTTCTCATGTATCCTCTAACAAGTTCTTGGGCCAGAAAAATGTTATCAAACATGAGGCGGCCATTAACAAAAGCACCTTGGGCTAGATCAATCAAGCCTGGAAGGCATGGAGTGAGTCTAGCCGCAAGGATTTTTGTAATAATTTTATACATCACATTCGTACATGAGATTGGTCTATAGTCCGAGACCTTCGGTGAGTGATTCGTTTTTGGGATGAGCGCAATAACCGTGTGGTTTATTTGCTTTAGTAACTTTCCCGAACGGAAAAACTCTTTGACGGCCCGGACTATGTCATGCCCAATAAGTTCCCAATTAGACTTAAAAAATGCGGATGAATAACCATCCGGTCCCGGTGCCTTATCATTGCCGATGTCAAATAGAGTATTTTTAATCTCTATTGTCTCAATCGGCGCAAGGAGGCTGTCATGGAAACTAGGTTCCACCAGGGGACCGGATCCCAACACCGTGGGATCAAAATGATGGCATTCGGTACCTGTGCCAAACAAATCAATAAAAAAATTTACAAACTCATCACCAACTTGCTCTAAAGATGTAGTAAGACTACCATCTTCAAGAGTGATAGAAGATATCGAATTCCGCGTGGCGTTCCTCTTCACAATCGCATGAAAGTACCTCGTTCCTTTATCCGCCTCCAGGATATGATCCGCCTTTGCCTTTTGTTGGTAAAAGCTCGTTTCTGCCTCACTAAGAAATATGGCCCGATCTCTTTTCTCCTTCAATTGGCGTAGGAGTTCAACATCCGATGGAGCTTGGAGCACAAGGTTTTGAACTCTCTTAAATTCCTCTTTAGCTGCTTTAGCTTTGCTAGAGATGTGCCCAAATTCCCTGTCATTTAACTTTTTGAGAGGCCCTTTTAGCATTTTTAATTTTCTCACCAATATGTACTGGGCTGAACCAGCAACATCTTGGTGCCAAACCTGTTCAACTATGCTAGAAAAATTCTGGTGCTTAATCCACATGTTGAAGAATTTAAATGGCTTTGGTCTAGTAGAGGAATTATGGAGTATAGAAAAAACGGAGGCCGAATGGTCAAACTCCACCTCTATATCAAAGAAATGAGCCTTACACCCAAAGCCATTTTGCCCCCATACGTCATTAATTAAAACACGATCTAGCTTAGCCCAAAGAATGCCCCTATTCCATGTATGGAAAACACCCGTAGATGGGGCATCCTGTAGGTTAGCCGAGACCAAAAAATCATTCAAGTGTTGCATAATGTAGCCCGAGGGGGGGGGGGGTAGGACCCACCCTTTCATTTGGCGAGCAAACACAATTAAAATCACCACAAATAACCCAAGGATCGAAAATAAAAGCTCCCAAATCCATTAAGTGGTCCCAAAGTTCCTTCCGCTCCAACACAGTATATAAGGGATAAACAAAAGTAGCATATATAATGGTTTGTGTGACCCGGCAAGTACATTTAATATGCATATGTTGTTTATCAATTTCCAAAAAATTACAAATCACAAAACCTGGGTCCCAAATGATGCCCATACGCCCACCTTGAATAGTTTGAAAATTAGTTTCATGCACCCACTCCGGCCACACATTAGAAACATAATTATTAAAACTATTCGGGTTCATTTTTGTCTCTAAAAAACAAAATAAATTAATATTATTAATCCTAGTAAAGTTCTTAATAGTGTTATGTTTAGAAGGTTTTTTCAAACCCCTAACATTCCAAGTTGCTATTTTAATCAACATATTAAAAAAGGAGACCGAGATACACCCAAACACATTAAGAAAGGTAAAGGTCCGATGAGAAAACCTCATCTTCAGGATCAATTCCTTCTTTCTCCTTTTTTCTTTTCTAGCCCTTCTCCTCATTTCTTTCAAGTACTTCTTGTTCCTGTCCAGGTTAGGATCAAAGAAAGATAATACACGAAGAATAAATGCAGGTTTATCAAAGTCATACCAGTCCCCTTTCTTTTTTACCTCCGGGCAGCTAAGTAGGAAGTCTTCAGTGAAGTTCACTCCATTATCATCCCCATTTAGCTCTTCCAGTTTCGGTCCCAGCTTAACAATGTTAACTCCCTTTGGTATTTGATCTGTTTCCCACGCATAGGCAATTGTTTTGCCTTTTTCATTAACCTCAAGCATGGTGATAACATCATCATACCCCATTTCATACATGTTTGTCACCAAATAGCCTTTACCCCCATTAATTGCCTTATCCCCACAGGTTTCAACAAATGGAATAGAGGTAGAGGCATTCTCCTCAATGATAGCCAGTCTTCGGGAATTCCAATAATCAACATTGATCTTGGCCTGCGGGTCAAAGAAACACCCAACATTAAGATAAAAAATTTCTTTATTAAAATTGTACCATCTCAAAGTCCGCTTCACCCCAGGCAGTGCTACCAAGCACGGGTCTGTGAAAGAGATAGCCGGCACATTAAGGTCATCTTCCCTTTGGAGATTTCTTCCAAGCCTTGCCACCGCAATGTAACTCTTTATTTGATGTCTTTTCTTCACAAAGGCCACGTGTGCTCCATTTTCATTGGTTATGAATTTGTTGACAATATCATCACTCTCCAATTCATGCATGCTTTGAACCCTTCGGCCTTCCCAGTCAAATACCTCAGCCGAATCTGAACTTTCTTCCGTATAAGGGACCCAGTCTGAGGAGCTGGCAGTAGTGCTAGCAACTGTTTTGGCAGTAGGAGTGTTCTTTGTTGGAGCACTGGATCCAGCCAGTTCAGGGGCAGCATTTGTCCTGTTTCCAGCCTTCCCAGTAGGCTTCATAGTGCCTTTCGGTGGCTGCTTATTGGGTTGTGGCCGGGGAGCAGGTCTAGACGTTGAAGCAATATTCAAAATTAACTCTTTCCTCACATAATTTGCAGGCCTTCTGTTGCGGACTTCCACAAATGCTAGATGATTTGATATCATCATCATCTAGCGTGAATCCAATAAAATCCTCACATTTGCAAAATCCTCAATCTTGCAAAGTAAAGTCCACCTTGTCAAAGGTTAAATGAAAAACATGTGTATCTCTCAACTAATGTGGTGATTAGACTTCAGTCAATCTTAATTTTTTCTAATCGCTCAATTTGTTGAAAGCGTGATGCCCTCGACTTTATAGTGACATTCAATTTCGTCGTTGGGTGATGCAAGATAATTAATGTACTTCAATTTATTGTTTATGAATGCTTCATTCTTCCACACTTCATGAACATGATATTCTTCGGATGTCATCATTAATACAAACGATCTAGAGGTTCAAGGTGTTCTCTTTGCATAGCCATGAAAGCCAAATAATTTATTAAAATAAGTTCTAATCAATACTAATATGTATAATAGAAGTTATAAAACTATTTAAACAATGTTATTTATAATACAATTTATAAAATCTAATTAAACAACATCACTATTTCAAAATTAACATTTTCCAACTACAATTATGGATACACAATAATTAATAAATATGATAATTGGAACATTTTCTAACATTTATAATTTTCATATAACCCTAATAATTAAATTATTTACTAAAAAATACTCCGTATTTAAAAATATTAAGGATAATCATACTGGGGCTAAACTAAATGAAATGGCCGAAATATTGAGAGAAGAAATTGGAGCAATCCAAGGCCATTCATATTGAACAATAGGAGCGAAAAGACGGATTTGGCAACCAAGATGACAATTCAAGATCACAACTCACAAGTATTGACCAATAAGAGAATAGAATAGATTTGTCAAATCTGCTCAACCAAATGTCAATCTGCATCCATGATGGTGATCCAAGACCATGATTATTTGTTGGTATTATTTAGTCCGCATACATATTTTATTGTAAATAATTGTATTGTTTATATTTTTCTAATCTTATCACTTAGCTGGTAACGGAGCCCATGCTTCTTTCCTTACGTGTAGCAGTAGAAGTCTAGCACTTGTAACTAATATAGGCACTCAAGATTGTATATATATTGAGGCATGCTTTTACATGCGATCAACACAGAATAAAATTCTTTCACTCTTCCGTCTCTTATTTAATTTGGTATCAGAGCGGCGAACGATCCACGAACGTTTTTTACGATGACGAACGACCTTCAATCTGCACAGCCTGCACGCATGCCTTGTTTTAGTGACGATCAATGGAGAAATTTTCTCCAGTTGATAGAGAAGTGTAAAACGCCGGCTTCCCAAGAAAAAATATCGGGTATTGCTTGTGATAATATGTGGCTATTAGATTCGGGTGCTTCATTTCACATGACCGGGCAGGAAAGCTTATTGATGAACATCCAGAAAATTAAACCATTGTCCGTTTTTCTGCCAAACGGCGAAGTCACATTTGCCACAAGCAAAGGGGCCGCGCAGATAAGCCTTGGAATTACTCTGAAAAATGTTTTATTAGTTCCTGGATTGACTTGCAATTTGATTTCGTTGGCACAATTGATTGATGACCAGAATTGCAGTGTGTTTTTTACTAATGATGTTTGTGTGATACAGGACCTACCTTCGAGGATGCTGATTGGAGCGGGTGAGAAACGAGGAGGAGTATATTATTTTCGTAGTTTTGATTCTGCTCGTGCTTGTTCAATAACGGAGAAGAGCAAAGGAGATTTGTGGCACTCCCGGTTAGGACATCCGTCTGTCAAAGTTTTGCGTTCTGTTCTTACTTTCAATAATACTGTGTTGGAGAATGGCTTGAATAAATTTTGTGATGCATGTTTGCGAGGGAAAAAGACGCGTGATATTTATCATATTAGTGAATCCAGAGCATTTGCAATATTTGATTTGATACATTGTGATGTCTGGGGTCCCTATCGTACACCTGCGTCTTGTGGTGCTAGATATTTTTTGACTATAGTTGATGATTACTCACGTGCTGTATGGGTTTTTTTGATGAGGGAAAAAAGCGAGGTGTCCCAGATAGTTAAACAATTTATTGTTTTGATCGACCGTCAATTTAACAAAAGGGTGAAAATTGTTAGGAGTGATAACGGGACATAATTTCAAAGTTTGAAAAATTATTTTTTGGATCATGGAATTATTTTTCAAACAACTTGTGTTTACACTCCACAGCAGAATGGACGGGTTGAACGCAAACACAGGCATATTTTGAATATTGCTCGCACCCTTCGTTTTCATGCTCATCTACCGATTGATTTTTGGGGTGAATGTGTCTTGACTGCTTGTTACCTTATTAATCGATTGCCTACTCCCGTCTTGGAATATAAGAGCCCTTATGAATTATTGTATAACAAGCCACCCAAGTATGATCATTTGCGTGTATTTGGGTGTCTTTGTTATGCACGTTCAAACGGAACGGACGGGGATAAATTTGCTCAACGAGGCCTTAAATGCATTTTCTTGGGGTATCCTTATTCTCAGAAAGGATGGAAACTATATGATCTTGAAAATAAACGATACTTTGTTTCGCGAGATGTTACGTTTGTTGAGACGCATTTTCCGTTTGCTACCATGAGTGAGGAGAATGAAATTCCTAACGCGGCTTCCAGTGACATGGTGACAATTCCACCGTCTCATATCATGGATGATGACAAGTTTGACTCACAAGAAGCTGCTGGTACTCCAAGGGACAATTCAGGGACATCTGCCACTACGTGCATAGATAAGGAAAAGCAAACCCATCAAGTAATAATATCCTCCTCTGACCATGATAATGGGAATCACGTGGAAATGGAGCTGGACATGGGAGCTGCTTCCCAGGCCGTAGGAGAGACTAGCGTGCCGACACCGCCATTTGAATCCTCTGTACGACGTGGTGCACGACCAAAGCGGCAACCAGTGTGGCATAAGGACTACACAGTGCAAATCAATACTATGAAAATAAATACTTTTCCCGTAGCTCCCTCGTCTCAATCAGTTGAATCAGGTAACCCGTATCCCTTATCTCATTATGTAAAATATAATTGCTTTTCGGTACACCATCGTGCTTTTATTGCAGCTATTTCAGCAACCAAGGAACCGAATACATTTCGTGAGGCGGTTACGGATCCCAAATGGCGTGCTGCCATGCAACATGAAATTGATGCGTTGGAGCGAACAGGTACGTGGATAATACAGGATCTCCCCCCTGGTAAGAAACCCATTTACTGTAAATGGGTTTATAAAATAAAATACAAGAGCGATGGCAGCATTGATCGCTACAAAGCTAGGCTCGTGGTCTGTGGTAACCGCCAGATACAGGGAATTGATTATGACGAAACCTTTGCTCCGGTTGCCAAAATGGTCACGGTACGTACTATTTTGGCTATAGCTGCATCCCGTGGTTGGGAAACACATCAAATGGATGTGGACAACGCTTTTTTACATGGTGATCTCCAAGAGGAGGTATATATGCATTTGCCCCCCGGCTACTCCTCTACTAAATCCGGACAGGTGTGCAAATTACTTCGGTCACTTTATGGGCTTCGTCAGGCCCCACGTTGTTGGTTTTCGAAGCTAACTAATGCACTTCTTTCCTATGGGTTTTCTCAGTCACATGCTGATTATTCTTTATTTACCCTTCACCGTGGTGATCACCTATTATGTATTCTTGTCTACGTTGATGATTTACTCATTACTGGTACTAGTCCTGAGATGATTTCTATGTTTAAATCATATTTGGCACGAACATTTCCTGTCAAGGACTTGGGTTTTATGAAATACTTTCTTGGTCTCGAAGTTGCACGGAGTCCGCGTGGTATTTTCTTATGTCAACGGAAGTATGTTCTGGATATTTTGGCTGAGACAGGACTGACAGGGGCCAAACCCGCTGATTTTCCTATGCCTCAAAATCATGGCCTTCAATCTGACGCTGGCCCATTTTTCTCGGATCCAGAAAGATATCGGCGTCTGGTTGGAAAGTTGATTTATCTTACGCTCACCCGACCCGATATTAACTATTCGGTCCATATACTTTCCCAATTTATGCAAGAGCCTCGGCAGGCTCATTGGGATGCTGTCATCCGCGTACTTCGCTATCTCAAGGGCCACCCCGGCCAAGGTATTGTATACCGGCGTGATTCTCCTCTTGAAATTCTTGGGTATTGTGATTCGGATTGGGCTAGTTGTCCAAAAACACGACGATCCGTTACGGGCTATTTTGTGACACTTGGGGGGTCCCCTATTTCTTGGCGGACAAAGAAGCAAGCTACGGTCTCTCGCTCCTCCGCTGAGGCGGAATATCGCTCCATGGCCACGCTTACTTGTGAACTTTTGTGGTTACGAAGCTTATTTTCATCCTTGCGAATTAAGCTCCCCCCACTGAAGCTCTTTTGTGATAACAAAGCAGCTCTGCATATTGCTTCAAATCCCGTTTTCCATGAGCGTACTAAACACATAGAGCTTGACTGCCATTTTATTCGTGATCATGTGAAGTCAGGTGCTGTTATTCCTTGCTACATGTCCACTTCTGAACAATTGGCAGACATATTCACTAAAGCTTTGGGTGCTTCTCAGTTTCACTATCTTCTTGCCAAGATGGGCATTCATGATCCCCATGCTCCATCTTGAGGGGGGGTGTTGGTATTATTTAGTCCGCATACATATTTTATTGTAAATAATTGTATTATTTATATTTTTCTAATCTTATCACTTAGCTGGTAACGGAGCCCATGCTTCTTTCCTTACGTGTAGCAGTAGAAGTCTAGCACTTGTAACTAATATAGTACGTATACTAGGCACTCAAGATTGTATATATATTGAGGCATGCTTTTACATGCGATCAACACAGAATAAAATTCTTTCACTCTTCCGTCTCTTATTTAATTTTATTGAATAATAGGAGCATAGAACACATTCGTCAAATCCGCTCGAAGTGTTCTGAAAAGCCAGAACAGATCTCGGAAATCTGTCAAGCTAATTTTTTTTGCAAGCTTTTGCAGATTTGGCAAATATATTTCACATTTTTTTTATATCAAAATTCAGATAGAATTCCACTCTTTGAAAACACTTGCACAAAAGGTGCACCGTTCAATCATTTACTCTCTCATTATTCACTTGTATCACAATCTTAGGGCATCTCCAGGATTATTAGAGGATTAAATTGGTGATGTGGCGAATTATTTTTGGGATCGTGATTGGATGATGAAGATTATTTGGTGAGATTATTTGATAAAATAATCCGGGATTGAAATATGAATCTGGATCATTTCAAGATTATTATGAAGCTAGTATTAATTAGTCAGTGCAGGACCACAAAAGATATGATTATTTTGAGATGATGAATGATGTAATTTAAAAGGTTTGAGATCATTTTGAAAAAATCTACGTGTCATTAAATAATCGGATTATTTTAGTAGCGTGAATGTGGATGCTCTTAGAGTATCCACTCTAAGATATTTTTTGGGATCATCTTAATGACGTGGAACAACTTTTTTGAGATTATGGTTGAGGAGATGAGATTATTTAAAAAGATTATTGAGATAAAAAAAATTGGTATTAAATATTGAATCCTAGATATTTTAAGATCATTTTCAAGTTTCAATAAACACATTTAATGCAACCATGTCTTTTAATTTGGAATGACTAAAATACTTCCTTGGAAATAACAAAAACTTCCTGATAAAGTATATAGGCATGGACCCCATCAAAGGCAAACACGCCAGCAGGACATCCACGCGGCACGCTACGGCCAGTAGGGGCCCACAACGGCTTAGGGCCAAATCAGCCCAGAACGCTACCTGGACTTCCGGAGCCGCATCGGCTCATGGACCGCATCGGCCATGGGACCGCATCGGCCAAACCGCATCGCATCGGCCAGGCTTCACCCGGGCAGAATGCATTTTCATACTTTATTTACTAAGTGTTGCACTCAGCCCATTAGCGGTCCTATTCCGCCCAAAGAGGGCATGATTGTTTTAATGGGCCTCATAAGCCCAAGGCTAGGGGCACAAATCCACATTTTTACCTATAAATAGACCCCAAGGGGCTAGTTATAGGAGGTTGGGAAATATTAATTGCTCACTTCCTCTCTCTAGCTCTCACTTCTTTCTAGAATTAAATACTCTATCACTTCCATAAAAGACTAAATGAATAGAGATCACGGTTAAGGGAGAATTAGTAAGTTTTGGCATGTGGTAATGACATGGCAAAAAAAGACACAACAATATGAATATTTGAGTAGCATAGATGGAGATGCTTTTATTAGCTATCACACGTGATGTCTTAGTTATGCACAAACCATTTTCATTGAAAATCTTCAACTTTAGAACTGCACTAACAAATATTATCTCCAAAGATACAATTGAACTAAAATTTTATAACATAGTCTATTTGGTCTGGTTAAATAATTATTTCTTATCTGGTCTGATATAATCTACATAGATCTGACCGAATAGATGTACTCCCTCCGTCCCTGAATTATCTTCAAACTTTCCTTTTTGGTCCGTCTCAAAATTATCTCCTCATCATTTTTAAGCAAAGAATGTGTGGTTCACAATAATTCTTACACATTTCTATCTCCTTTGCACAAAATTCACTATCTTAGTCCCCGTGTCGGGTCAAAAGTGAAGATAAAACATGGACTACGGAGTATGTTACATGTGTGTTTTACAAATGCGAAAGTTTAATTCATTCTATTTAATTTTGTATTTTACAAATGCAAAAGTTTAATTCATTCTATTTAATTTGGTTACTTGTTCATAATTCAACAATACTTTTTCCCAAAATAATGTGCAATAAAAAAGTATTTAAGAAAGTAATGTTGAATTAAAACTATTTCCCAAAGTAATGTTTAATGAACCGTGGTTAACAAAATGGATTTGGATCCTCTGCCGTGCGGCAGAGGTGCCTTGTGGCATCCAACGGCAGGGACGATAGGGGAGGAGAGGTGGTGGGGCTGCTTTGGTTGAATCGCGTGGCTATAAAAGCCACGCGATTCAAAGAGAGGAAAGCAACGTGAGGAGCATTAGTGGGACCCAATGAAATTAAAAACCTCATTTTTTAAAAAAGTTCTATAACTTTTTAATTTGTACTTTAATTATTTTAAAAAATATGTCAAAATTCATAATTTTTTATTATCTTTCATATGACACTCATATTGCATATATAAAAATTAAAAAATAATTAAGCGTTTAAAAAAATCTGTTATAATTTTTTTATTTGTACTCCGATTGTTTTTAAAATATATCAAAATTTATAACTTTTTATTATTCTTCATCTGACACTAATATTTTATAGATAAAAATAAAAATTATTTAGCACTATAAAAAATCTAGTTTCTTAAAGTGTTATATCTCTTTTTGTACTCTCATAGTGTAAAAACATGTTTGGTATATCAAAATTCAAAACTTTTTATATAAAAATAAAAAAATAAAATAATAAATAATTTAGGACTTTAATAAAACTTCAGTTTTTAAAGTGTTATACTACGTAATTTTTACTCTAATTGTTACAAATAATACAAATCATATACTCCGTATTAATTTGTACTCTAATTGTTACAAATAATATATCAAAATTCATAACTTTTTAAAAGCATTGCATATGTAACCAATATTGCATACTTAAAAATAAAACATTTATAATGTATTGACGTGTTTGACATTTATTGGTTAGCGGATAACGAAATTGTTAGCGGGTTATCATTAACAGATTCAGTCAACGGGTCACACTAGCAGAATAAGTTAGCGAATTGGTAATGTAGTTGTTTGACCATAACAATTAGTACAAATGTCATATTCCAAAACGCTAATCCAAACATTATTTTCACTTACTGAAAACCCCAAAAGGCGAATCAAACAACATTTTTTGACTGAAATTTCACTTTCCAAACACTCCTATCCTATTGTACTTTATCTGTTAAAAATTACGATTTTTTAAAAAGATTTCTCACATCAAACCTCATTTGTTAAAAATAACTTTTTAACATGCTATATTAATTTCATGGAAATAGAATGGCCAATACATTGTAAACTATTGGGTTTACAGAAGGGCTAGTGGCAGGGCTTCTCTCGTGGTTCAAGCCGGTGATGCTATTGGCATCAATTATTAGGATAGATCTCAAGAGGCGAACTCCACTGACTTGATTATATTTAATGATGAATCAAATTTTCCAAGAATTTTGATGATAAGAACTCGCCATATTCAATATAAAGGTTTCTTTTAGAAACGAAAAAAATTTATGGGCACCGAGACATAATTAAAACGCTAAGGTTTCGTTTTTTTTAATTAATACTAAAACGCTGCCGTTTTGGGATGGGTGCAGCATGCGCACCCTACACCTATCCCATGGTATAATTTGCTAACAATGTGGGAAAAAAGGGAAAAAAGACGAAGATGACTGACTTCCTTTGACACAAGGGCGGATCCATTAAATGAGGACTAATCGAGTTTTTCTCACCGACAAGTTTTTCTCACCGACAAGTTTTTCTTCGCAACCCACCATTATACCTGGTCCCAACGCGGTCAGCGGTAGCCCCACGACGCCGTCGGTGGGTTCCTCGGTCACAAACATCAACCAAATCAATCCCCACTTCTCCGATCTCTCTCTCAAACAAATCCAGATCGCTTTGGTTGATTGTATGAAGAAATGAAAGACGAGGAATCTGGAGCGAAGGGGTCCGATGGGGTGTTTGGGAAAAGGAAGTACAAGCTATGGGTGATAGCCGCCATTCTACTGCTTGCTTTTTGGTCCATGTTCACCGGCTCCATTACTCTCACTCTGAATCGGATTTCCAGCTCTTCTTCCTCCTTTAACGCCCTTCAAAACGATTTCGATGTTCTGGTATTCTTACTAGCATTATAATTATTGCTGATAAGCTTTTAAGGGCAATTTTTTTTTTTTGGTATGCTTTAATTCATCCGATTTACAGGAAGTAGAGGAGAGGGAGAAGTTTGTGAGGCAGATGTGGGATGTGTACACCCAGAGCAGGGGTACGAGATTGCCCAAGTTCTGGCAACATGCCTTTGAGGCGGCGTACGAAGATCTGACCGCCGATTCCGCCGCCGTCCGTGATGCCGCCGTCTCTGAGATTGCCAAGATGTCCTTCCGCTCTGCTCCGGCATCCGAGTCCCTCTCCGCTGAGAGGTAATGAACAAATTTTCCAGATGCCTAAATTTGATTAAAGAGTTTAACTTAACTGTAAAACCAAAATTACGTAACCAAAAAATGAGATTTTTAACATGATGAACAGAGAAACAGAGAAGGAAACAGATCACGTGATCAGTAATGGGAAGGAGAAGACAGTGAGGAAACGTTGAAGTTTTATGCGGAGGCTAGTAATTTGGTGATCAATGTCGAAAGTTTTAACTTTCTTCCGGCTTTATTGATTACTTGTATCTGCAAATATAACGTGCACTTTGCATTCTGTAGAATTTTCATTTGAGTATCAGATCGTTTGAGATCAATTTAAAAATGCAATCTATCAGGAACTTATTTTGTTCATATCGGAATCGGTCTTGTCAGCCCTTAATGATCACAGAGATGGGGAGATGAGTGCCACTGTTGTGTTAGGGACGCTTTGTCCTCCCTTCAAAGTTTTCCACATTTACATTTAGTTATCTGAATATTATCAAATTGACACTTTTAGAGTTTTAGTCCTTCCATTACCAATTTTACACATTAAATAAAGGACTAAATGTCATTATTATAATAGTTAAAGGACGCTTTTATGAAAATCAGAGGAGTATATATGAAAATTTTCAAAGACGATTACCAAAAGTGTCTCCAGCGCAATACTTGAACACTAAAAGTGTAAAAGATCAAAGTCGAGTATCAAAGGTGTCAATGACATCATAGTCGGAGGACTAAAATGACCAAAACTCTATAATACAATTACTTTGGCAATTGCTCGAGTGAATGTAGTCTTGGACTCGAGCAGGGTGGCCCGACCCGGAACTGGCATGGGACCAGTATTGTGTTGAACCGGCCCGGTGGCCCAGCCAGTGACCGGTCCGGGTCACCCTAAAGCCAAACCGGCCCGGCCGGTTCGGGCCCGGTTCCGGGCTTTTTAATTTTAATTTTTTTTCAATTTTTTTATTTTTTTCAGGTTGGGTTGGGTATTTTGGGCCATTTGGGGTGGTTGGGGGGTTAATTAGGAAAAGGAAGAAAAAAAATGACCCGAAGCCCGGCCCGGCCCTCCTTAAAAAAAACCGAGGCCAGACCGAGCCTAGGCCCGGCCCGGGTCCATGACTAAGTGAATGTAAGAAGTGGGTAAGGACTCAAAAGACGCTTGGGGATTTAGCCATTTAGGGCTTAGAGCAAAACGAGATAATAAAGGTAGGCCTGGGACCGGTTCGGTTCCTAAGCCAAATATGTGGAACCGTTTGAAAATATTACGGAGTAAATTTTACCAACGGTTCGGTTCTTATAAATTATTTTATAGAACCGATAAGAAATCGAACCGTTCTTAACGGTTCGGTTCTTGTCATTTAACGGTTCCTAGTCTTCGAAAAAATTCTTACAAATCATGACTAATTTTTTGCCAAAAACATTCTACATTTGAAATTACGATACAAATATGTTTAAATAGTTAAATAGAATAATAATTTTAAATACTTTGGACCTTCAAAGTTCCGACCCGCTGGAGTTCTGACCTAATCAAAGAGACCTAAGAAGCTTAAGAGAACCGGTTGAAGTGAATAATAGTTTTAAATAGTTGAATAACTAAACTAAAATAATGAATGTAATATAAAAATAAGTAAGTAAATATACATTAATATATATATATATATACACACACACTCATAAGAAGTATATATAATTTTAATTATTTTATATAACGATTCTTTAACGGTTTCTAGTACAAATTTTTTTCAGGAACAGAGAACCGAACCATTAATAAAAAATAGGAACCGAACCGTTAAAAAATAACTAATAAATGTTGAAACTGAACCGATCCGGGTCATAACGGTTCGGTCCGGTCCGGTCCGGTTCTCCGGTTCTTGGTTCCAAAGTCCCAACCCTAAATAAAGGGCCTTATTTTTCCCAACAGGACCACTCTGTCCTGGGGTATTTGATTTCGTTAATGAAGGATAAGTTTTCCGTTTTCATGCATCCCTTTTGCCTAACTTTGTTTCATATCATTATAACATACGGAGTACTTATCCTAAAGCTGGGATAGATTTAGGGCGCCCGGAGGTGACTCAACTTTCAAAATTTTCTACTATATACTTCGTATGTATTATGTTTTTTTATAAAATTTTCATACTTTAATTAGTTTCGCACATCTTCATTTTACTTTTCAAAATTAATATTCCGTATATAGTTTTGTATAATGTAATACTTGAAGATTTAAAAAAATGAACATCTAAAATAATTTGCGTAACTTAAACTAGTAAACAATAGAACATCTTTCGAGTGATTTAAGAAAATGTGTTGATCAATTTGACCTCTCTTTACCAAGTAAATCCTCAACTCTTTAATTTTGAGTACAACTTGCATAGTTCCTTTGTAAGGGTTCTATTTATAATTGAATGATTAGATCGTTCAAGATCAGATTCAGTCAGTCTCTTAGTTAAGTCGCATACTTTTGCTTCTAGGTTTTCCATCTTAGAATTCAAATTAGTGACTTTTTCTTGTGCCATAGTTAGGCGATTATCGAGTCTCTCTTTCCTCTAAACTCTATACTAAGCAATTATGATTATTTGCTAATATGCTTCTAATTCCTTGATAGATTTACATTCATTACTCATAGTTGTGAGCTAATCTTATAAAGAATGTAATGTAAATTTTCAGTTAGAATTGAATTAGTCAATTAGAAGTACTTGGGTGCCTCAAACGGTTGATAAACAATGATAGTGAGTTTGAGAAGGCATTCATTTTAGATTATCGTATATGGATCGTTGACATATGGATGAATGAAATTGCCGATTTGGTCGTGGGTCACTTGTTTTTGCATCAAGTCGAAGGTGAATTTGCTAGTAACAAATTATCGATTAAAATCATTATTGAGTTGACTTGATCACATTTTGTTGTGCTTTGTTGCGTGTCGTTGAAAAGATCATTTTGAGTTCTAAAAATCGTGTCCAGACTTGATTTTTTATGCATCATAGAATAGGCATTGATTAACCTGAAATTTATAAACATTTTTTATTACACTATAAACTCATGTAGTATTTGATTTAAGAGAAATGATGCTAAGTAAGACCTTAGCTTTACGTATATACTTAAATAAGACTTTGACTTTTTTTTACTCCTAAATAGGACTTAACTTTTCCATGTTTCCAAAATTGCCCCTGTTTTATTTCTCGGCAACAATCCGTTCCTTTCACGCCAAACTTTATTATCTCTCGGCAACAACCTCGTCAAACCCTCTCTCCTTCCTCCATAGCTAAGCAGGCAGATCATCTTAATAAATAATGGAAAAGTTGAGCTATAGTGACGTTGCAGAGGGGAAAAGACAGAGAAGATGCAGCGTTGCAGCGGTACATGGTGCGGCGGTGCGGTGAGAGGCCCTGCTGCGTTCTCTCTTTTCCTCTCCTCTCCTCCTATTTCTCTTCTTCTTCTTCTCTTTTAGATCACGGAGTATTCGATTTCTCTTTTAGATCTGAGAAATTTCTGACTTATTTTTTCCAGTCGAGTTACTTACTTTTTAGGAAAAATTCACATGATTAATCCCACCTTTTCACATTCTTCTAATATTAATCCCAAGTATGAATAATTCAAAAATAATCTAATTTATACCAGGTATCTTCCGAAAATAGACTGATAACCGGAATATACAATTTTAACAGGTTACCGATGACGTGTTCGAATATGATTGGGTTAAGTATTTTTGCTTTTCTTTTTTCTTTCTTTATTTTTCTTCGCTTCCACCGACCCTGTCTTCTCCTTCGTTCCCTCTTCTCAACTTTCAATCTCCTCTGTTCTTCCTCCCCTTCTTCTTAATTTCTTCACAACTTCCTCCCCTTCTTCTTAATTTCTTCACAACTTTTTCGATTTCTGCCTCTTATCTTCTTCCTTATTTCGAATTCATGTGCAAATTTTCGCCCGCCAGCAGCTTCCTTCCCCTTCTTTGAAATTTCTGGAGAAATTGAGGAAAGAACGTTGATAAAACATCTAGATCGGAGGAATTTGGTCAGATCAGACTTTAGTGCCACCATCCTTGTCGGTCGTCTCCCTCTTCCATTTTATTATTATAAAACTCTACAAAAATCGTTTTATTTGGTGCCATTGAGGCGTCCAAGGGCTTCCGGTGGCACAATGAAGAAGATGATATGCCAACAGCTGGACATTTAGAAAAACCGTCTCCTGTCATTAGCCCGTTACTCGATCTGTAAGGTTCATGGACCATCCATCATCACGTTTCCTCCCAGATTCGAAAGATGAGGCTTGGAACGATGAAGCTTTTCTTAGGAAGAAAAGTCTCCTGCCATACATACCATATTAGTGTTCCTCTTTTATTTTTCTTGTATAACTTACCGTTTTAGCAGGTTGTGGGTAACCCGGATCAATTTGAGAAGATCTCATATTAACTTCAGATTATTTTAGAATTAAGAATATTTGGGATTAATATTGGAATAACGTTAATAGTTGGGATTATTCTTGTGAATTTATCCTACTTTTTACTCGTATAACTTTTGATTCTCTTACGTTTTTCTCCCAACCTGGTTCCTTTCATATTTTTCTTGTTGTACACTTCGTATTTTTTTAAAGTTATTCTAGTTACTTAATTTATTTATTTGAGTTCTAGCTTTTTTACATATTTTTCTATTAATTATTTTTAGAGTCATTGTTACTCTAACACTTTGATGTACATTGTCGGATAATTTTGCAATGATATCAACATTGTCAGTTTGTCACACTATTCAAATGTTGATCAATGAGATCTTAACATTCTGACATTTTTGTAATATTAATATTCTTATCAAAATTGTTTGATTTCAATGTCATTGTTATTATTTCACACTGTCACAATATTAATAATGACATTGTCTATAACATTGTCAACATTAATACTTGTAAAAAATGACATTGCAAAAAAGACAATGTCAAATATTTAAAAAATGGCATTGTGATAATGACAATGTCAATTTCAATGCCGCAAAAACAACATTGTGATGACATTATCGAGAAGTAACATTGTCAGTTTGTCACACTATTCAAATGTTGATAAATGAGATCTTAACATTCTGACATTTTTGTAATATTGATATTCTTTTCAAAATTGTTTGATTCCAATGTCATTGTTATTATTTTACACTGTCACAATATTAATTATGACATTGTCTTATAACATTGTCAACATTAACACTTATAAAAAATGACATTGCAAAAATGATAATGTCAAATATTTAAAAAATGACATTGTGATAATGACACTGTCAATTTCAATGCTGCAAAAACAACATTGTGATGACATTGTCGAGAAGTAACATTGTTTTTTATGATGCCATTAAGATATGTGACAATGTCATATTTTTTTAAAAAAATTCAATGTTAGAAACTTTCAGAATGTCAAATAATGAAACTGTCAATCTTATAAAAATGACATTGTAATATGACAATGGCAATGCAACCAACAATGACATTGTATTAGAGCCCGTTTGGTAGCACGAAAATCGGCTGTTTTGGCTGTTTCCGCTGAAATTTATGAAGTTCTGGCTGAAGTGGCTGTT